GGAGGCGGGAGGACCCGCCGCGGCGCCCGCGCCCGCAGCGAGGTGCCGAGCGCTGCTACCTGGTTTACGAGCTCGTCCCTGGCTGCGACGTCGCGGAGCGCCTGCGGTGCTGCCAGGACCCGCGGCGGCAGCGGGGGCGGCCGTCGGAGGAGGGCCGCTCGAGCTCGGCGGCGAGCCCTTCGTCTCTGGGAGGGGGGCCTCCTCATCCTCCTCCTCCTTCCCGCCTCCTCCGCCTCCTCCTCCTCCTCCTCCTCCTCCTCCTCCTCCTCATCATCATCATCATCATCATCATCATCATCATCATCATCCTCATCCTCATCCTCTCCTCTTCTCTCTCTCTCTCTCTCCTCTCTCCTCTCTCCTCTCTCCTCTCTCCTCTCTCTCTCTATCCTATCTCCTCTCTCCTCTCTCCTTTCTCCTCTCGCCTCCCAAGGGGTGTCCAGGGACCGATGTGGAGCGCGTTCGGGCGACTTCGCGCGAGAGTGACCCTTCGCCGGAGCGACCCCTTGGCGCGGGCTCACCAGGGCCCCCCCGATCGCCGATGGCGGTGCAATCGTAGCGTCCTGCGCGCTCGTGGTCGGCCCCCCCCGCGGTCCCCAGAAGGCCGCGCACCAGAGGTCACTCCTGCCCAGGGTCGCTCCTGCGTGCAGCCGATGTGGGGGAGGCTCGGGAGAGCCGCCGTTGTCTCGGCTGGCCCTGCTCCGAGGCTGGCCCGAGGGAGGCCAGCGCGTGCATCTGTGGGCTCCGAGCGCACATGTCTTCGACGAGGCTCCCCAGCGATTGCGTGCGCTTCCCCGCGCCGCCCTCGGCTGTTCCCTCCCTGCCGCCTCCCACCAGCAGGAGCACGGCAGCGCCTTCGACTGGTCGGAGCGCCTGTGGACCGCGGCCGACGTCGCAGAGGGCCTCGCGCACATGCACGGGACCGAAGAGCGCGCCGGCCGGGCGAGGGCACCGGTCTTGAGCAGCCCGAACCTTGTGCCCAGCGCCGGTGTATTATAAAACAACGCGAAGATCGGGACAAAATCGGATCGGGATAACTCGAAGTCTCTGAGAATCGGCGGGTTTGGAGGATGTATTGGGCGCCGCGGCCGCTCCAGAGCGTTCCGGAACGCTCTGGGAGCGCTCCGGAACGCTCTGGAGCGATTTATCCCGATCCTAGCCCTGTTTTATACTATTTGATTCAGTGGAGGCCCATGCCAAGAAGCACCCCAGTTGCCTCCCGGGTGCCCTGGGTATCTTAGGTTTCGATGGTTTTGCTGTGGAAGGCGTGACGCTCCCACACCCAGAAACGAAGGACGTCCTGGGGTCTCAGGGCTTGGTTTCTTGTGGCAGGTTTCTTGTGGCCGGGCCTCTGCTCTGCTAGTTTGAACAGAGGCCTTGCGCGGCGGACATTCAGCGCATCGTGCGGGGCTCTTCTGAAGGACCCCTGGGGCTGGATCCGCGCGGGCTCGTTCATGCAGGCGAAGGAGGAGGCGCAGAAGAAGCGTCATGGATACGGGTCCCTTGCACAAGGCTCAAGTCGGGCACGTCCCTCCACAGGAGGAATATTCCAAAATAGTGGAAAAAGTACACCGGGGACGATTTTTTGAGCACTGCTTGGCGATCTAAAAGGTATCTTTTGAGGGGTGTGGGTGATTCCCTGTCGGGGGACATGCCCGACCCAACACAAGACCCCTTGGGCGCCTGGTGCGCCAGCGCGCTTCGCTCTGTCACCCCGCTCTATGGAGAGCAGTACGTGCCTCTCTGGCCAGGGACCCGAGGGCGCACAGGCCCAGGCCTCCCGCGAGCACGGAGCTGTTCCATGCCGGCGTTCCTCTTCGGAGGTTCGGCCTCCGGGGGCCGCGCCGGGGCCCCAGGGCCAGCAGAAGCGGCTCCAGGGCCGCTGAGGATCACGATTTGCCAAGCCACCCCAACCGAAGGTCCCAGGCCACCCAGGATTTCGGGCCGGGGGGGATGCGGGTCTGCAGTGCTCCCTCGATGTTCTGGGACGTCCCCCCGCTGGACAGGGGCAGGCCCGACGGCGACTTCGGGTTGGGTCTTGGGTGGCTCGGCGGGTGGGCAAAGGTACCTCTGGGGAAGCGGTCGGGAGCTCTGACGCCGCGGCTTGCAAAACCACCTCGTCGGATACCTGGCGGGACCGCCCGCGGGCCCAGCCAGGGCTGGACCTGAACGGTGTTGTGGCCATCTCGTGGGCCGTTTTGTTGTTCGCTTTGTCTTGCATTCAGGGCGAAGCGAAGGCAAAACGAGGAAGAACGAAAAAAATAATCCTCGTCCTCCTCCTCCCCCTCGTCCTCCTCCTGCTCCTACTCCTCCTCCTCCCCCTCCTCCTCCACCTCTTCCTCCTTCTCCTCCTCCTCCCTCCTCCTCCCCTGCTCTCCTCTCTTCCTCCTCCTCCTCCTCCTCTCTCCCTCCTCCTCCTCCTCCTCCTCCTCTTCTCCTCCTCCTCCTCCTCGGCTCCTCCCCTCCTCCTCCTCCCCCTCCCCCTCCTCTCCTCCCTCCTCATCTCCTCCTCCTCCTCCTCCTCCCCTCCCCTCGCCTCCTGCTCTCCCCTCCTCCTTCTCCCCCTCCTCCTCCTCCTCCTCCTCTCCTCTCCTCCTCCTCCCCTCCCCTCTCCTCTCCTCCTCCTCCTCCTCCTCCTCCTCCCCCCCCTCCTCCTCCCATCCTCCTCCTCCTCCTCCTCCTTCCCCTCAACCTCCGCCGCCCCCTCCTCCTCCTCCTCACCTCCTCCTCCTCCTCTCCTCCTCCTCCTCCTCCTGCTCCTCTTCTTCTCCTCCTCATCTTCCTCCCCTCCTCCTCCTCCTCCTCATCCTCCTCCTCCTCCTCCTCCTCCTCCTCCTCCCCCTCCCCCTCCTCCTCCTCCTCCTCCTCCTCCTCCTCCACCTCCTCTGGTGGGACCGATCGCGGGCCTGGCGTGGGCGTGGTCCTGGCCAGGCGGTGCCCGCAGCCAGGTGGGCCACGCCGCAGCGTGGGTATGGTCGGTGCCCGCCTGCCAGGAGCAGCCCGCAGGCGCTCCACCGCAGCCTGAAGTCGGCGAACGTCGTCCTGGGCCCGACCGGCGTCGCCAAGCTCGTGGACTTCGGGCTGTCGTGCATCGAGCGGACCAAGGCCAAGGTCTCCTCCTCCTCCTCCGCCTCCGCCGCCTCCTCCTCATCCTCCGAAAGTTCTTTGGGGCACGACGGACATGGAGGAGCTGAGCAGAGAAAAGTGCTCCACGGGTCGCCCCCTGCATCCTTCATCCTTCTCGCGCGTCCTTACGTCGAAGATGAAAAGAACCCATAAACATAAGTTATGTTTATGGGTTACACATAAACACAGTTATGTTACAAAGATGAAAAAAAAAGAACACATACACACAGTTATATTACATAACTGTTGGCCCTCCGCGCGGATGTCTTGCATCCGCGCTGCCCCCCCCCCCACGCAGCGCCTCCAGCGCCGCCCTTGGCGCGCTCCGCGCGCCCGGGAGGGGGGTCCAGAGCGGATCCCAGAAAGCCGAGCGCAGCGTCGCCGAAAGTTTCTGTGCTTGGCTTTTGCCGTCTCCTCCTGTGACGAGAAGTCCTGGCTATGCACAGGTCTGGGTATCGTTTATCCGATCCCCATCCCCATCTCCATCGCCTTCGAGACCCCCACCAAATTACCACCCCAGTTGGGGATACACCCCTAGAAACCCGAAGAGAGCGACCTGTATCCCCATTTGGGGGGGTAAATCGGGCAGCGGGGCCCAGGCCACGCCGCTGGGGATGGGGATCGGCTAAACGATACTCAAGGTCGTCCCCCTGAAACACCAGCTCGGTATCCCCGGGGAAGCGTGCCCCAAGGACGTCAGGAGCCCACCCCCTCGGCCGCCGCCCGCGCCCCTCCCCTGGGCCGCCCGCCCGTGCACAGGTCGTCCCCCTGAACCACCAGCTCGGCACCCCCGGGGAAGCGTGCCCCGAGGACGTCAGGAGCCCGCTCCCTCGGCCGCCGCCTGCGCCCCCCCCCCGGCCGCCCGCCCACCCGCCGGTGGCTCGGTGCGCGGCCCACTCCACAGGAGGATGAGGGGGGGAGGAGAGAAGGAGCAAACCAGCGCACAGGGGAGGAGGAGGAGGAGGAGGAGGAGGAGGAGGAGGAGGAGGGAGGAGGAGGAGGAGGAGGAGGAGGAGGAGGAGGAGGAGGAGGAGGAGGAGGAGGAGGAAGGAGGAGGAGGAGGAGGAGGAAGAGGAGGAGGAGGAAGAGGAGGAGGAGGAGGAGGAGGGAGGAGGAGGAGGAGGGAGGGGAGGAGAGGGAGGAGGAGGAGGAAGGAGGAGGAGGACAACAGAAGGAGCAAGGCAGTGCACCAGGGGAGTGCGAGCAGTCCGCGACGCGGCCAGGTCGTCTCCGGGGCGCCCCGGAGCAGGCCGCCCGACCGCGGCGCCGTCCACGGCGGGCGGGAGAGCGCCGTCCACGGCGGGCGGGCCGTCCTCAGGAGCGGCGGCCCTTCGTGACGAGCTCCGAGTCGGCGCCTGCGCGGAGCAGGTCCTCACCCTCTAGGCGCGTCGCGGTCGGGCTCGTAGGGGGGTGGGGCGGTCGCCCCGCGGGGTTGGCTGCCCTCTTCACTAGCAAGCGCACGGGGGGAGGAGGGGGAGGGGGAGGAGGAGGAGGAGGAGGAGGAGGAGGAGGAGGAGGAGGAGGAGGAGGAGGAGGAGGAGGAGGAGGAGGAGGAGGAGGAGAAGGAGGAGGAGGAGGAGGAGGAGGAGGAGCTATGCTCACGCAGCGGGAAGGGATAAAAGACGCGCGCACGTTGCCGTCGTCACCCTCATCCTTCTCTTGCTGCGCCTGCGATTACATGCGGATACTTATACAAGCACTTACCCTAAATAAGGAACGTGTCCGCCTTCAGAGGCGAGGCGAGGCCGTCAACTAACGAGGGCTTCGAGTCTGGCCCAAAGACCATCCCAACCTTACACTGAGCCAAGCTGGACGTGCGCAGGTGGGCAGTGTTGCCGCTGGCCAGCTGTTCCCCCCCTTCTCCGCTCTTCGTCCACCTGCGAGTTGTCGGCCTGACCCCCTCATGCCGTTGCCGTGACCCTGACCCCTTCGACAACGACGACCACGACGACGATGACGACGACGACAAGGGTCCGCCGACGACGGCGACGACGACGACGGATCGTCGACGGTCCACGACGACGGTCCACGACGTCGACGACGACGGCGACGTTGACAACGACAACGGATCGTCGACGGATCGTCGACGGTACGACGGTCCGCGACGATGACGACGACGGCGACGACGACGACGACGACGACGACGACAGCCCACGACGACGACGACGACGACGACGACGACGACGACGACAACGACGACCAGAGTCCGCCTGGCCCGGAGCGGCCAGCTCGCGAGACCGCGGGACCCGCCCGTCGCAGGAGCGGCGTGGTCACGGAGTCGACGGAGGTCTACGCCCTCGGGAGGAGGAGGGAGGAGGAGGAGGAGGAGGAGGAGGAGGAGGAGGAGGAGGAGGAGGAGGAGGAGGAGGAGGGAGGAGGAGGAGGAGGAGGAGGAGGCGGAGGAGGAGCAGGAGGAGGAAGAGGAGGAGGAAGAGGAGGAGGAAGAGGAGGAGGAGCCGACGGAGGTCTACGCCCTCGGCCTGCTGCTGCTGGAGCTGCTGCTGAACCTGCCGCCGGTGTGCCTCGGGCAGGCCCCGGGCCGTCTGGCACGGGCTCTTTGCCACCTGGGGCAACGCTAGGGGGAGAGATGGGCTTCGAGGGAGGAGGGCCCGGTGGCCCACCCCGCCCAGGAGCGTGCGGACCTCCTCCTCCTCCTCCTCCATCCCTCCTCCTCCTCCTCCTCCTCCTCCGCCTCTTCTCTCCTCCGCCTCCCTCCTCCTCCTCCTCCTCCTCCTCCTCCCCTCCTCCCCTCCTCCTCCTCCTCCCTCCCTCCCCTCCTCCTCCTCCTCCTCCTCCTCCTCCCCTCCCTCCCTCCCTCCCTCCCTCCCTCCCTCCCTCCCTCCTCCCTCCTCCTCCTCCTCCTCCTCCTCCTCCTCCTCCTCCTCCTCCTCCTCCTCCTCCTCCTCCTCCTCCTCCTCCTCCCTAGCCTCCTCCTCCTCGAATCGCTGTGGGGGGCGTACGGCCTATCTATCGTTGGCGTATCGCCGATCGCAGCTCGATGTCCCCAGACATGATCGCGTCGTAGAAAAATCAGAGCGGGAGGTATTTGGCCATTGTGATTGTTTTTTATTAATTGTCGATCGGCGCGGGCCATTTGCCGATCGGCGCGGGCCCCCCTCTCCCCCCTATGGAGTCGATCTTGGCTGTTTTTGGCGCCTGTTTCGAGCAGGCGGGGTCCCTCCCCCGTAGGGCGCACGGTTGCAAACAGTCGCATGAAGCAGAGGTCTGGAGCCAGACCCCCCCCCTCCCCCCCGTCCGCCCAATGTCGAAACGCAGTAGAAAAACGCTCACCAGGCCGGCAGGTTTTTGGCAATTTTCGGCCTCGGGGGGGCCATCGCCGGGCCTCGGGACCGTCCAAAAACGATTCGGGATGAAGAACCGGTCCCGGGGAAAGGGTCGGGACTTCCCAGAACCCCGTATTTCGGGGGTGGACAGAACCCCCACCCTGACACGTCGATCAGTGAACTGTCCGTCTTTCGGTCCTCGAGGGGGGCGCAGTGGCCGTTGGGCTGTTGGGCTCCCCTGGGCCGACACGGAAACCTCGAGCGAATAGATGGTTATCGGGTACCGACGATGCCAGCTTCTGAGAGGAACGAGCTCGGCGTCCCTGAATGGCACAGTCCTGTCTTGGAAACCACTTGGCCCTGGGGCGGGCACGTTGTTCGTTCGAGAAGCTCTCGTCCTGGAAGTCATGTTTCTTATTGTTTGACCTGGCGTGAGGCCAGAGGGCTCCAGCTCCAAGAGCGCAGCTTGGAAAAAGGGCGCCAGGGTCACTGAAGGAAAACTCGCCCTTGGAGATGGGCCACGGGCTTGTCCTGATTCCTCCCCGATCTGCAGCCAACTACCCAAGATAGACAAGTGTGGAAATCCTATGCCCGCGACTTTGCAGCTTGGAGAGAGCAGCCGAAATTCGAACGTCTGCACCGCCATGCTCTGCCTGTCCCTGTCTTTGCCTGTCTCTAGAATATATCGTCCTTTCCTCTGCCACCTCATCTGTCCGCGTCTGTCGATCCCCTGGGTCTCCTGGGCTCCCGCGGACTCCTCGTTGCCATCGTTCCGCCAGGCATCGTCTGCTGCCTTGCGGGCGCCAAGCATGCCTGAGGTAGCCAAGAACAACAGCGTCCTCATCATCATATTCATCACCATCATCACCACCATCAGCAGCAGCAGCATCAGCAGCAGCATCATCGGCGTCATCATCATCATCATTGCCACCATCACCGTCGTCACTGTCATCAGCATCCTCATCGTCAGCCTCATCGCCATCCTCCTACTCCCCCTATCTGCTTCCCTCCCCCCCTCCGGCCCTCGCCGTCCCCCCTCCCCCAGGGCGGGGAGTTCCTCTACCCCGCCTTCCAGGACTCCGCCGCGCAACCCCGCCGCGCCCTCGCCGCGGCGCGCCCCCTCCCCCCCCGCGCCGACGCGTGCCGCTGCGCGTGCCACGCTCGCCCCGCCTGCCCCCCTCCTGCTCCCCCCCATTCACATCCTCCCTGTGCCCCCTCCCTGCGCCTCCCTCCGCTCAACATCGGCATCGTCACCATTCAGCACCACCAGCATCAGCATCACCATCATCAACAGCATCAGCATCGTCAGCATCGGCATCATCATCACCACCATCAACATCGTCAGCATCATTAGCATCGCCAACATCAGCAGCGTCACCATCAGCATCACCATCGTCGGCATCAGCAGTCATCCTCATCACCATCAACATCATCATCAAACTCATCAGTATCAGCATCAGCATCATCATCATCATCATCATCATCATCATCATCATCAGCATCGTCATCGTCATCGTCATCATCATCATCATCATCATCATCAACATCATCATCACCGTCATCACTCTGCATCCTCCTCATCCTCATCTTCATCCTCATCCTCATCATCCGCATCATCGTCTTTCCCTCTCCCTTCCCGCTGTCCCATCCGACAGGCAGGGGGGGCGATAGGTGTTCAGGAAGCCCACCAGCCCGCCCTGCACACCGCGGCGGCCAGGCCACTGCTGCCGCCCGTCCCGAAGAATCCCTGCGTGTCCCCGAGTACCCCGCCGCGCCGAGCCCCGCCACGGAGGAGTCGACCCTCCAAGCGTCACGGCGTCACGCCGTCCACGAGCACGCAGAGCATGCACCAAGAGGAAACTCCACGGCAGCATCGAAGAGCGCACATCAAGGACATGAAATAAGAAGCTGTTTCGAGGACATACACCGGGGACGGGCATCTGCAATGGGCATGAAGAGAGTCAACGATGACATACGCCATAAACCCGCATCAATAGCAAGCATACAGAAGAGGGATCAAGAACATACATTCATAAAACACCAGATGTTGACAGGCACAACGGGCATAAATGACGTACGCGAGTAACGATCACCAATGGCATACGTGAAGAAAACGCACCATGAGCGCACAACAATAACATACACCAATAACGTTTCTTGGGAGCAAGCATCACAAGCACCAAGGCAGTACATCACAGCGAAGCACCGAGGCAGCCATCAGAAACAAACAGCGAAAGTATATACCATGACGAGACACCAATATCACACACAAACGCCATGCACCAGAATCACACCTCCGACACATGCATGGAGAACGTATGCCAAAGATAAGCAGGACCAGCAAAGCATCAAGAACACACAGCGATGACATGCAACAAGGGCAAGCATGAACAGCATACACCAAGACTAGGCAGGAAAATCATGTGTAGCCATTTGGGCTCAAGCCGTCTCGCTTCAGTCCCATAAAGCAGTTCACTATATCAGATCAGGTGTTTTTGGGTTAGTCGGAGGCTGCCAATGCTAGTCTTTCGTTGGACGCATCAGTTAATTCGAGCACAAGCTGGGAAGGGGACTTGATTGCACATGCGGCAATATCGCGGTCGGCTGACACCGCAGCACCATGCTTCCTCGACTCCAGAGGCTACCGTGACTGCCGCATGCAATGTTGGAATAGTCGCCCTGCAGCCGGGCGAAGTACACGCTGCAACAACATTGCTCCACGGCGCTGCAGCGAGTGAACCGAAGAGCGCTGACATGACATCGCCCATCAGCTGGCAACCCTATTACGTTTGGGCGGCCGGCGGCAGGAAGCGCTTGTGCAGGCTCGCGTAGTTGTTTCTTTATCTCAGCGTTGGGCCCTCGCGCGTGCGCACTTGCGGACCCTCTCTGAGCTCAACGGGCACCGTGCTGAAGCGATCGAGAACCCTCAACGCGCTGCCTCTCCGGAGCCTGAGAACGCATTTGCTGCGCACTCCCTGGGGATGGCATTCCGTGCGCTGTGCCTTGCTCGGGGTCGTGGCGGCCTCGCCACCATCCCTGACTTGGTGACTGCAAGCATCCGAGGACAGCTCGACGATGCCGGTTCCTTGAAGGGCACACTGAGCCGTCGTGAAGCACAGAGTTGTGCAGTTTGCCGACCCTCGCAGGGCTTGCACCACTCTGGTCATACACAGTACAACGTGCCGAGTCACATGTTGCTTGTGTGTCGATGCAACCGCTGGTGAGACCTAGAATTTGTGTGCGTGACTGCAAATGAAGCGGCAAAAATCTTGGTGATCTGTGGGAGCATAGCTGCATTGGCAGGCGCAGGAAAGAGAGAGTGGTTTTTGCACTCGGCAGCTTTAGTGGAAGCGCCACGTCAAAAATGATGTCGTGGCGGTTGGCGCTTCCAGGAGGGCACATAAGCTCTTTGGATGGCTGTGCGGGATTTCTTTGGCAGAGGCGGTCACAAGAATAATGCTGGACGTGTCGCTTTGGCGGTGACGCCAGACATCAGAGCCATCATTACACAGAATGCGGATGACCTCGACCAAGCCGCAGCCAGTGTCACTGAGTGGCATCACCCAGTCATCGAGCCACGTGGCGCTCGACAACGTATGACACGCCACGCTTGTGGACGCTGTGCGCCGCATCCTGTCATCTAAGTACTGTTGCAGCACTCCCTGCCTCCTCACTCTGCGAGCAGTGCAGAGGGCCAATGTGCCAGATTGTCCTCCTCTTCCTCCTCCTCCTCCTCCTCCTCCTCCTCCTCCTCCTCCGCCTCCTCCTCCTCTTCCGCCGCCTCCTCCCCCTCTTCCTCCCCTTCGTCCTCCTCCTTCTCCTCCTCCTCCTCCTCCCACTACTCCTCCTCCTTCCCCTTCCTTCCTCCTCCTCCTCCTCCTCTCCTCCCTCCTCCTCCTCCTCCTCCTCCTCCTCCTCCTCCTCCTCCTCCTCCTCCCCCTCGTCCTTCTCCTCCTCCTCCTCCTCCTCCTCCTCCTCCTCCTCCTCCTCCTCCTCATCCTCCTCCTGCGGAGAGGTTTTTCGGGTTGGTGTGACGTCCAAGGCCCTTTGGGGTGCTAACATACAGGGGCTCCCCAATGGCAAGCTGTAGAGGCTCCGCGTGGCAGCGCTAAGAGCTGAAGGCCGCTTGCCCAGAAGGTGTTCGTTCGACCTAGCCTCTATGTGCTCCAAAGGAGGGTGGTCTCGGAATCCACTTGTCTTGGTCACGTCTGACGCGCTCCGCACGTACTGCCAGGTCTTGCATGATCAACGCTTGACCCCTGTGGTGTTAGAGTGGCTACACCAACGAGGCCAACGGATGCTGCCTGACACTGCAGCTTGGGCTAAAGTCAAAGACCCAGTCGCAGCGCTTCTCCTCACGAGTGCACGGGTTGGGTTCCGATTTTTGGACCCATGGACTTTGCAGGAGCCGACAGGAGAGCAATGGGATTTTCGTTCGGTCTCGCTTGCATTCGCAGCTCACAGGGCCACTTTCGCCGCCAGGAGCTTGACAGACAGGTCTGGCCTGGCCAAGATTGGGCAAGGCAGAGGTTGGCGATGTGCATGTTCTGTAGGCCGCTCAACGAGCTGCTGCATGCACGGCATGACCCGCAGGGAGAGGTGGTGGAGATTGACGGGGTTTGGGGGGTGAGGGAGCAACGTGTCCTTCGTGGCCGTGTCATTGGCTCGCATTGGACCCAGTTCCGTTTGCACGAGCATGATTCCATGTTGCCGAGTCACTGCCTCATCTGTGGGGAAGGGCCAGGGACCCTCTTCCACCCTCATATCCAGTGCCCAACACGCCAGGGATGGAGGCGAGACGCCCTGCTCACGCTGCTATTCGAACCTGTGCGCTGGCTCGCCACTTGCCCGATAGACCTGCAAGAAAAGCTTGCGCGCATGATCCCCCCTGATCCTTGCCAAGCCTTCTCGCGACCAGCTTGGGACCCCATCTGGGAGTCCAAGGTTGAAGGGAGTGCTTCGCCGCTGGCTTTGGACGAAGGCCATGTGTTTGGGCTGTTCCCGTCCTTTCGCGTTGCGGGCTGAGGTGTAGCAGTGTGTGACAAAGAACTCCGCTACCAGGCAGGGTGGTTCGGAGCTGTCCCCCCCGCGGTATGTCCAGACCTAGTAGCTCGCGACGGCGAAGACTTCGCGATCCGGATGGCTTTGCGTCACCTGGCGGGCACGTGGTACACTCCAAGTGTAAAGGCACGCTGCAGTGTTGTTGGGGCCCAGAGTTCGTTAAGAGGCCGTCGAACATCCGCTCTCAGATTTGGAAGCGCCTTTTCGCAGAAGGGAGGCCGCAAGGGATAACTTTCAAGAAAGTAGTGGCACACACTATCATGAACGATGTGCGGGAAGGGCGTATCACGCTGTTTGAGCATGAAGGTAACAAATTTGCCGATCGGTTGGCCAAGCAAGGAGTTAGGCTGGCGAGGAGGGACCCGTCTGTCCATCTCATTGCGAGGGTTATGCTTTCCATGGCACGTGCCCTGCCCCGTTTCATCCGCAGGGCTGAAGCCCATTTCGCAGATCTAGGAGTTTTTGATAACCTGGGAGCCCAGGGACTCACCATGATCTTGCTGGAGGGCGATGCCGAGATGGAGGAGGCGTTGGAGGAGATGAGGAGGAGGGAGGTGGCGGCTGCTGCGACTGCCCCCCTTCCGCCCGACCCTTTCCCACAGGCTTGCCGCCCGAGCGAGCAGCTAGGTCCTGAGCTGGCCTCGATGGCCCTGGACACGGACCAAGCGCCCTCGGCTTCCAGGGGACATTTGTTGCTGAAGTTGGAGGTGGTGACCGAAGACCAACCGCCGATCCTTTTTTGTTCCACCTGTGGAGGCTACGCAACAATTTCGCAAGGTTCCCGAGTGTTCCGCGACGTCTGTCAGGGCCCCCAGCGTGCCCTGGTGGACCCTGGCAAGAAGAATACGAAAGCGGTTCTTAGGGGCAATCACCCTAACTGGCCTCTCAAATTGGGCCCCTGGAGGACTCCCAGCGGGGTGGCGCGTGAGCCGGCGGGGGGTTTTGGCAATGCCTCAGGGACACAGAAGCGAGAGGCGAGACTCGGGCCAGGTAGTGGCCCGCCTGTTCTTTTGTTTGCTT